CTCTTAGCTAAAAGAAAATACCCACAACCAGTGTTGTCATCAAAAGCCATTGAGTGAATAATTCTAAGTGATGGTGCAAAGTAAAACAATAGAAAAACAATACTGTAAACAGAAGCCCATGCCATTACTTGAACAACCTAATCAAAAAGCTTACAAGATCTAAAAAAAAAAGGACATAAACAATCTTTATTGACACTAAAACAATTAAAACAAATGACAGGACCTTCATCCACTGACATTTTACTAGGGGTGAGGGAAAGAGATGTAAAGGATGTAAAAGCAGTAAAAAGCCACATTTTAAATAGCATGCAATGGGGAATGTGGAGTTGGGTTGGGAAGAGTGGAGGCCAGTTTCAGGGGTAAGAGGGTATCGGATGGAAATGAAGATCCTCAATTTCTCATAATATTAGAACTAACAGATACCTCGCATTGAATTCTAGCTAAACAATTTTTACGAAATTCGAAATTTGTAGCCTGGATACGTTTGTAAGAAAATAGCATTTGAGAACAAATGTCGATGAGTTGACTATGCTATGGCAATAAACCTGGAATAAAACCCTCATTGAGCCAAAACCATTCCTAATTCCTGGTTTGAAAGTTGCAACTTTTCATTGCACAAGTGCAGGAGCACAACACCATGTTTCATGGTAAACTGGCAATATGATGTCATTTTAACAATCAATTTACACAGTAAGTAATTGATTACTATAAAACCTGTTTTTCCTACCTAAATTAAATACAATAACAACATTAGAAGGCTCATTAGGCTCTCCACTAATATTTTTCTTTCAAAAGAGAATTACAGAACTACAATGTAAATATCAACATTTTATGTTTCCACTTAGTACAAATTTGCCCACCTACAGAGGAATTGAAAAAGGGAGCTACAAAACTCTTTTAAAAATGTAAAAACATAACTTTGCAATCATTTTTATAATCACCTGCTTTTGACATAGTGATCTGCTTTGTTTTCCTTACTACAAATATGGCAAAAATTACTAAATGAAATCTAGCTGCAGTCTTAAAATTTGAGCCAACAAAATTGAAGGCTGAATTTTGAGATACTGCTTCATCATTCAGCCTAAATATAGACAACAACAAAAACCCAGTTTTTCTCTCTTTCTCTTGTTATTAAATCACAATTAATTACATATGATCTTCTTTATAAACTGGTAACTAATTTTTTAGATCATATCAATCTTTGATGAAGGAAACTTCTTCACCCCTTGATATAGTTAAGGTTAGAAAATGAATCAATTGCCATTATTTTAACATATTTACAGCCAGGGCCATTTTCCTCTTTGTGAATTTGTTACAACAAAACTATATATATTATGCACTTTAATCTGGCTTAACAAGACAGAAAAGAGGTTCAAATAGTCAAATTTAGAAACAAATTGGTGTAAATATGTTAAAACAGAGTCAATAATATCAGGTGTTGAACCCATGACTTGACATAGGCTTGTGTCATACTTACAATAAAGAAGCCCGATGTAATTTGGTCTGAAGTCAAGGCAGCTGGAGGACCCCCTAGGATGACTGGCGTTGGAAGTACAGGTGGCATTGCATTGACCACAGGTACAGGACTAACTGGCCGGTCTAACTTTTTAAGAATTTTGTCTTTTTTGCTTGATGATTTTTTCACCTTGTGGGGACGGGTATCTGGGTGACTTAGGGAGGATGAAGGGGAGGGATAGGGGGAGGACGTGGTTGTGAAAAGTGACAGATCTGAGAAGGGTTGTTTAGAATTCTTACTTGACTTAGGCTTCGGTGGTCGGGTTGCTTGGTCCAGGTCTGCTTGTCTACTTGCTCTTTCCTTTTCCCATTCGCGCACTTCTCTCTCTCTTTCTCTCTCTCTTTCTCTTTCTCTTTCTCGTTCACGTTCCTTCTCACGCTCTCGCTCTCTCTCAATTTCCCTTGTCCTTTCCTTTTCTCTCTCCAATTCTTTCTCCCGTTCTAATCTCTCTTTCTCCTCTTTCTCTCGTTCTCGCTCCCTCTCTCTTTCACGCTCTCTCTCCTTTTCAGCTCTTTCTTTCTCTCGCCGATATGATTCAGACTCAATAACATGAGATGAAGAGAAGAGTGGAGCTGGAGGTAGAATACCAAGTTTTAACATTCTCTCTTCCTCAGTCACAGGTTTCTTTACAGCTTTAATGACTCTGAAAAATAATAAAACCAGGTATTAGATAAAGATATACATCCATTCTGTTCACAACACACATTTTATCTACCAAAACAGTGTTGTAAAAAACAATTCAATTACTTTTCAAAATAATGTCTAAAACAAGCAATAAAGTTACTCTGAGTTAAACTGTAATAAAATGTGAAATTAATTGTAAATTTCAAGGCAAATTGTACAGCTGACCTAATTACACAAGGCAAAGCCAAAAGTAAAATCATTTATTTAAAATACAAATAAATCTAAATGTAAATGATACATTAGGAAAGACTCTTGTCATCATCAACCCATTGAAATATATGTTTTTAATCTGCCAACAGATTTGGGGACATTGTACCACCATTAGATATCTAAAAGACCTCATTCACAGTTTTAAATCTGGCAGGGAAAATACTTACTTCTGTGTTCCACTTAATAAAGGCAGGCTAAATATAGGAAAATAATGACCCATGTTAGATTACGAATACAAATAAACCCACCACAGTAAAAAGTGGGAATGCTACAAAATTTTCTGAACTTGACCACAATATTATTGGCTTATTTTTCATTTCAGACATACAAATACACTGATTTTAAGATTGAAAACTATTTTGATGGCATTACTGTATTATTCTTAAAAGTCATAATTCTAACAGGAAACAGTTGTAAGGGGTATTTCAAATAACAAGATACTCACAATTTTGGAGCTGTAGGAGTTGCTGAGACCTCTGGAGTTGCTGGTCGAGGTGAGTCAGATCCTATTCTTAGAGTCAACTTAGGCACTCCCATTTCTTCAGTAACAAGTAGTTGAGGATGTGATGAAGACATACTGGCCTATGTTGAAAAATGACAATTGGCAAATGAAAATGAATGAATGGTAAAAATCTTAACTTACTTTTCTAAAACAGATCCTTAAATAAACAAAAACCTTTACCTCCTCTTTCTTCTTTTTCTCTTTCTTCTTCTCTTTCAGTTTGTCCTTCATCTTTTCTGGGTTTTTGTCCTTATCCATTTTATCTTTGATCTTTTTCAGTACTTTGTCCTTCTTTTTCAAGCTCTTATCCTTGTTTTTGTCCTTTTTGTCCTTCTTTTTCTTAATTTTATTTTTATCTTTCTTCTCCTTCTTATCTTTTTTGTGCTCCTTTTTCTGGAAAGAAATTAAAATTAAGATACACTCAAGCGGGTTTACATAATTAAACTTCCTAAAAAATTGTCAAAATAGACTCCTACACCAAAAGATGTACTAGTATTTTTTCTGACTACAAAGCCTGGGTATGTAGGAAAGGAATGGACTTCAGCGAAGTGTAAGACCAACATACAAATTTCTTGAAAGAATGTTTTACAACTTACTAGTTGTGTTCATAGAAAAAACCTTCTACAGATCATGCAAGGAAAATAAGAAAATAACTACACTTACCCCAATAAAACTGCAAACCTTTTAGAGAGATGAGCAGAAATTAAAAGAACAAGCAGTGCTTAGGATAGCAAAAGCAGCATGCAAGCATCAAGCACCATTTGTTGAAATGCCAAAGTGTCAATTAAGTACATCTTACACCCAAAATAAAGAGGGCGTAAAGGTGTTAAAAATAAATGAAATGAATAGAAAAATTATGGCGGGATTTAATTTACATACTGCAGGAGTAAGAAAAGGTGCATACTCAGCTAAGGGAATGGGTCCATTGGGTGCTTTTACAACAGGGAATAAGAGATCACTACCATCATTGTCAAATAACAAGACAGTCAGAGGTGCTAGATAGTTTACTAAAGTTTTCACCTACCAATACTAAGACGAGTCCTCTCTGCTCGCTCACTTGATGGCATTGTAACCCACCCTGCCCCACAGGACTTTCTTGTAGATCAGATATAGCCAATGTCTTCGCACCAGCAGCAAACATACAAGACAGGAAGACACAAGATGCACAAAATGCAGAAATCAAAACATTCAGGAAAGAGCAGTTGCCGCAAAGCATATTTCTACTTGTCTAAACAAATTGAAATAGGAAAAATTGAGATTGATTGAAATTTCTCAATTTAGGAAGTTGATTTTTTTTCATCAGATAGAAAATGAATTTTTGTTTAAACTTTAAATGAGAAAAACTTCAAGTAGTAAATACTGTAATGAAAATGGATTTTACATAATCAAAATGCAAAAGAGGATAGATTCAAAACACAAAACACATTATTTTGCAGGTAGAATTTTAGATATAAAATGACGGTTTCAAGTTTCCAAGGTTGTTTATTGTAATGGGTATTGGCCAGTATTGGCCCTTCCTAATAAGAAAGCTTAACTTGAACTCTCAACTGGAAGTAACATAAATGGAACTATAACAGATAATGCTAAAAGAGCTATTAAAAATGCATTAACTGTTCCTATGAATGCTACAAGACATGCACATGCAACGCAGCAATTGTTGCAATCATTGCCTTCACAAGCAACACCTACCTTTTCCAAGTTCTTCCCCTTGCCATCCAGACTTTTCTTCTTAACCAATGGACTTACAGAAGTGAGATTTGCTCCTGGTGTGAGGGGAAGAATACCTCCTCCTGGAGTTGGAGGTACGCCAGTAGGTGTAGAAGTGGATGACGCAGGTGAATGTTGGAAGAAAGACAGTGATGAGGGGGTTAAAGGAGGATAAAACGGAACTGGGGATATTCTTCCAATACCAGTTCCTGGAGTAATTGGTTTCTCTGGAGAAGGGGAGCCTCTTGGTGGTGAAAGTCCATGCAAAGCAAGATTTTCTGGTCTCTTGGTGTCCAGTAGTGGAGGAATAAGGCCAGGATGAGGTGGAACAGACACATAATTATTGAAGGGTTTGAAGTCCAGCTTCACTTCAGGGGTTTTTGGGCGTTCCAAAAATTCATCATCATTGACTTCCATTTTTAGTTTCTTTGGACTGAGTTCTTTAGACTTTTTCATTTCATTCTTTACTTTTGATTTGTCTTTCTTCTTCTTTTTACTTTCTTCTTTAGCCAATAGGGTGTGGACAATTTCTGGAGTCTTAGGAGCAGTAGGAGTGTAGGGTGGAGAAGCATCAGGCTCAAATGAATACATATCAGGAATAGGTGAATTTTCTATATGGAAGCTGTTCCCACCAACATCAACGAAAGAATCACTAGAAATGCTCACATCCTTATCCTTCTTGGTGTTCTCACTATCTTGAATTCCCTGCTGGATAACAGACTCTATGCAACTGTCAATCTGGAAACCTCTTGCTTCCTTTTTAGCTCTTTCTTCATTTACGACCCAACCTCCAGGAGTTACTTTTGTTTCTTTATTAGGAAGTGGACAATCAGAAACTCTGTCCAGCTTTTCATTTCTGTCAAGTTTTTCCTCTTTTGGTTTTGATATTTTCTTGAAAAATGACAGCTTTTGACGATCTGGAGCTGACGCAATTTTGTCGTCTTGATCAGACATAGGAGGTGATGCTGGAGGGAGGACACTCGGAGGTAAGGACGGAGGTTTTGGTCTTTTAGGGGATGTCTTATTTGATGACATCTTAGGTATCTTGTATGCACCAGCAGAAGATGAACCTGGCTGTGGCTGATGTTTGAAACCAGCAGGTTTGAAAGCTTTCAGTTTAGAAGTTTCTTTCATGCTAACTAATTTGGCTACATTAGAGTCATCTACATTTACATCCGTAAAAAGATCAATCTCTTTGCTCTCTTTCTTTTTATTTTCTTTGTCCACCTTCTTGGAGGCATCAATAGGTTTTTTAGGAAGAAGTTTCTTGAGCTTTTTCTCAGGCTTATTAACTTCTGGTGGAACAGATGGGTAGTGAGACGGCTGCGGTGAGTTAGATCTTGAATCAGATGGCTGTAAAGGTGTGCGAGATTCAGGGAGTTTCCCCTCTCTGGCTGGTGATAAAAAGCCTGAAGTTGTCATCATGACACTACTAATTTCACGCAAAGGTCTACATTCCTCTTCCATCAGTAAACTGTAAGAAAGATTACAACAAAATCAATTAAGGATTTTTTAAAAGAAAAAAATAATAGATTAATAAAACAACATTTCCAAAGCCCTTACCGAGCTCGTTTTAAAGCTGGACTCTCAGCTGAAATGGGGTCTCCAGGCCGTTTAAATGGATTTGTTGCATTCATTTTCGGACTTGATTGAGGAGATAAACTTCCCCCAGCACTATTGGGACCACTACTTGGACCCGGAGATGATACATCCACAGACAATGGACTGCTTTTGTTGGGATACTCTTCCACTAAAAAAAATAATAAACATTAAATATAGCTGTTTACTGAATTTTGAATTAACAAGTACAATATTCTTTCCTTTCTCCATACTATAGAGTTTGCAAAGCAGTCGGAGCATGAATTAACCAAAAAAGCTAAAAATGATGCAAAATACCAATTCAAGTTACATAGGTTGAAGTAGGGGTTGGCCTTACCTGGTTCATTTTCCAACTCTGGATGCATTGGAGGGAGGTATTCATGTACATACACAGGCCTAGTAACAACTTCTCGGCTTCCAGGTTTGAGAAAATTTAAGTGGGACTCTCTGGGAACGGGGAACTTCGGAATATTGTGGGCAAATGGTACTGAATCAACATACTGAACATACTCATTAAGGTCATGAACATTGATGCCCATTTCTTGGAAAGCCAGGCCCAAATCATCCAAATCGGGTGTAGTGTGCCCCACTGTAACATAAAATGATCAACATTAAATGCATGACTGTAGATTCTTGCTGAGCCGACAATGTACTACAGAGAGCATTTAATTAAAATTCGTTGGTAAGAAAACGAGCAGATAGAGATACATTAAATAAATCGTGTATCATGTCAAGAAATAGACTGAGTAAATAGCTAGATGCATCTATTGTATGACAATATGATTGTTTACAAACATACTTAACCTCACTTTGGAGGTTATGTAGCCGTAAATAAAATCCTTTTCCCAGGTGCTTTAACAGAGCCTATAGCTATTTAAATAAATTAGAAAAAATAAACATATTGAAAACAAAATACTTACATTGTTCGGCGTAGAGATGAGCATTTTTTCCAACTTCAAATAAGTATCTGTGCAAGAGGTCAACCAGAAGTTCTAAGGGCGTCGAATTAATAGAATGCCAACCAATAGTCTGACATATTTGCGCCACCACTAGTGTGAGGGCCTTTCTATTAAATTCTTGCGCCATTGTTTGGATTTATAGCTCTTTGTCAACAAATTAATTCACCCATTACTTCTATCTCTCAGCTGTCCGGGCTTCATCTTGTCCAACCAACCAGTCTGTCTGTCTGTTTCTCTGTCCGTCTGTCTTTCGTATGTCGAGTCACCAACGCAACCCGGTTTCATATCCGCAACCATTCTCTTGGACGATACCACAGGAATTTTTGAAAAACGAGAGAGAAAAAGATTGATATCCTACAGTAAGCCAGAAGACACTTATCTTACGCACAGTATTTTTTTTTTTTAGTATTTTCTATATCGACGAAACTTAACATATAGAGCGGTATCTTCGAATTTCCCGCATGTTCAAGATGTCGAACTTTTCAACACAAAACTGTTCCTCTTGCACATAGTGTTCGCCAACGTCCCCGACCTAAATGTCCCACCTTTGTTGCGCCTTTTTTGCAGCAGACTTCTTGCTTTTTGTAGTTAGGGCATGCACATGCTTATGCCGGCTCTTTATCCATCATGACGTGCGTTCAAGAGTGTCGAGAAGAAATCGTCCCGGAAAACTCATGCAAAAATGGAGTTTGCAGTAAGTACAGCGTATTAAATATTGTCATGGTTGAATCCTATTAAATTTGAATCATTCTTTTTAGGTTAGGTTTCTGGTAATAGGCCTATGTTTATTCTTACTGTGTTTTAAAACGATATTTTTTCTGTGCTAATCTCCCCTAATTTTGTTCGAAATTTTACGTCGCATTTATCTTAAGAAAGTATAACACCTTAAGAAACGAATCTGTGTAATTACTCGAGATGTGCACTGATGCCTTGTGCCTTGTGACTGGGAGGTTATTTTTTTTATTATTCTTGAACTCATGAAGATTTTGGCAGCTGTTTATTTGCCTGGAGGTGTATTTTAATACTATTTTCAACATATGTGAGCATTAATCTATGGTCCTTTTTCAGCTCTTACTCGCCGGAAAGTTCAGACAGTGGGGCCAGCATATTTCAATTATTATCGCATTGCTCATCAGAACGAGCAATCTGTTTGGTTAAACAGTAATCAAGAAACTGAGGAAGAAATAGAGGAAGATGTCTCTGATGACATTGATGATCTAGCGTATCTCAAAAGCTTAGATCCTAAGGAATGCAAGGTAAGGGTTTCGACTTTCAACTTATCTTCACCACCTATTCCAAATGTCCGTTAGGTTTGATCTTTTTCTTGGTCTGTTTCAGGACCAAGATCATTACAGGGTTCTAGGTTTAGGAAACAAGAGATACAAGGCCTCTGAAAATGATATCCGACTGGCCTGTAAGTAATGTTTGAATTGTGTCTGTATCATGAGGAGCTTATTTTGTTTCTTACTAATTTTCTCTGCTTTTTGTTATGAAAGACCGTAAAAAGGTATTACGCCATCACCCGGACAAACGAAAAGCTAGAGGAGAGAAGGTTGATCAAGATAATGATTACTTTGTGTGTATATCGAAAGCATATGATATTCTTGGTGTTTCATCCAAGCGACGTTCCTATGATTCTGTTGATCCAGAGGTAGATGATGGTGTTCCCACTGCTAATGAATACACCAAGAAAAACTTTTACCAGGTAAATTAAAAGTTCTGATAATTTGTATCCTGACTTCAACCACCCTTCTCTTTGCAGTCTTGTCAAATGATACATATGTTTTCCTCTAATCTCTCAGGTCTTTGGGGCTTTCTTTGAAATGAACTCGCGATGGTCTGAAAGGCAACCTGTTCCCAAACTTGGTGGCCCTGATGCAAAAATCCAAGAGGTTGAGAAGTTTTATAGTTTTTGGTACAATTTCCAATCATGGAGAGACTTTTCTTATCTAGATGAAGAGGAGAAGGACTCAGGCATGGAGTGAGTGAAAACTTGTCTAATATATGGACTTTCATTTCAGTCTTTCATTATGTCTTTTCTAGTGAAATTTAGAACTTATTTATTTACACTTATAATAATTAATTAATATACATTCACAGTCGGGAGCAGCGAAAATGGATTGACAAACAAAACAAAGCTATGAGAGTTAAGAGGAAAAAGGAAGAGATGGTCCGAATACGCTCCTTGGTTGACCTTGCATACAGTATGGACCCTCGAGTGGCTGCATTCAAGCAGGAGGAATTAGACAGGAAAGCAGCTGCCAAGAAGGCTAAGCAGGATGCTGTACGAGCTGCTAGAGCTGAACAGGAAAGAGTAAGTACTCATTTAAGCCATTGATTGTGGGACAGATGCTCTCATACCTGTAAATTCATGTAAAACTGTTATACTAGGGTAAGCTTAAAATTTTATCTGTTTTCTGCAGGTGGAGCGAGAGGCAGTGGAGAAAGTTCGTCAAGAGAAGGAGGAAAAAGAACGTGAAGAAAAGACGCGCCTTGAAGCCGAGAAGAAACAAAAAGAAGCATTGAAGAAAGCAATGAAAAAAGAAAGGAAAATCATGCGAGATTTCCTTAAAGAAAAAGATTATTTTGTTGAAGATCTCAATGAAAAAATTCCCCACCTGACTGGGATGGATAAGTTGTGTGAAATGCTTTCTTTGATACAGTAAGTAATATTGTTTTGACTTTTATGGAATTATTGGAAAAGCCTGGTATGAGTGCTTTATTTTTTTATATTTTTTCCAGACTTCAAGAACTCAACAATAATATGAAGGAACATGGCAGAGAAGCTTTTCTTGATGCATTAAGTGAATGTGAACGCAAACTGGATGAAGAGAGGAGAACTGTTGTAGAAGCTGCAAGATTGGGACGTGGGGTTTCACTAGGCACAAATGAAATTGCCCCTGCCAATGAAAAGCTAGAAATTACTTCCAACTGGACTCCTGAGCATTTACAACTTTTGATTAAAGCTGTAAATATGTTCCCAGCTGGGACTGTGGACAGGTATTTCTCATTCCTCACTGTCAGTTTTGAATATTAGAGTGGCAAGTTTGTTTTGTTTTGTTTCCTTCATTCCTCTGAACCCTTTCAGGTGGGAGTGTGTTGCCAACTTTCTCAATTCCCATGCCTCTGGTGCTGGTATAATTCGTACACCTAAGGAAGTTCTGGACAAAGCAAAAACTTTGCAGAAATCAGACCATAGCAGAAGTGCCCTCCGGGAACAAGTCAATTCTTTAGCCTTTGACAAATTTCAGAATAATCAAAAACGTGAAATCAAAGTTGTTGCTGATGGAGGAGCCTCAGAAAGATTTGATAGTATGTGTGCTGTACTAATGATTTTCGTATCTAGTTTTCCCTGGGCAAGTTTTCTCAATATTGTATCTTAAATTTTAGCTCCTGCAGCTCAAGCCGGTAGAAACCCAGCTCCATGGACCAATGATGAGCAGCAGTTATTGGAACAGGCTCTCAAGAAATTTCCCAATGGAACAGAGGAGAGATGGGATAGAATTGCAGAAGCTGTCCCTACTCGCTCTAAAAAAGATTGTATGAAGCGATACAAGGTAACAACTCTTTTTTTTCCTTCAATTTATGATTAGTTAAAATATTACAAACATTATGACACACAAATTCCAATAATTGTGTTTCAGGAATTGGTGGAAATGGTTCGCGCAAAACAAACAGCTAAACAAAGCACAGAAAACAGTACTGGAAAGTAAATCTTGTTATGTAGGCTATTGTTACCAGTTTGATTACATTGACACTTGTTAAAAACCCATCTCTTCCATTTAATCTAAAATCCTGTCTTTCCAATTAAGATTTTTGCTGAAATGATTCAAAGCTTATCTTTTTTTAAATTATAAATACAAAGTACGTGTTTGTTTTGCTGGGATGGATCTAATTAAAATATTGCTATTATTTATTGTAAGTATATAAATGGGTAATACCAGTGAGAACATAACATATTTTAAAACCCACTCAGTTTCCTTTTATATTTAACAAGGTGTTGTCAGAATTGATTTGTTTTCTTAAGTTGAAGAGCTGGTTGAAATTATGTTTTTGAGACAGATTTGTGGAGTGTTTCCCTTCGTGATGACGACATGTGTATGTTCAATTTTTGTGATACTGATATTTCATTAAAGTGTTAAGACCATGATTACTGTATTTTCTGTATTTGTTTGCACCTTTACCTTCTCTTTATTTCCAAAAGTTTCTATTCTCAGGAAATGTCTTGTTTTGATCGTTTTGATCCGTTCTTGCTTGATTTGGCGATATCCCCTGTATGCGCCTCTGCACGGAGTACAGTTTGCATCGAGATGCATAGTACTTAAGTACTTCGGAAGAAAGCCGCTAGAGAGAGCCACTGTCAACAGTCATCATTCATTTCGTTCTACTCATTCATTGAGTACCGGCCAGGGTCGTCTCACTCCCGGGAAATTAACTTGGCGGCTCATAAGGAGATCGCGGGTGCTGTGGTACCAACGTGATGGGCCTCCGCAACGAAAATACTTCTCAGTGAGGGACATAATGGGAATCGTAAAAACACGGCATATATCGCCTTAAATGCTTTCAATTTGCTTTTAAAACTCTTTATTTGAAAGAAATAGTAAATTGCAATCATTGATTTGGTGAAATAAACATATTCTATTTTCAAGAAATTATTTGTGTAATTTATGAGGCTGAGATCATTTTTCAAGTTCTTGAGCAGAGATGCAATCAAAGCAGACGACAAAGACGTCAATTGTTTTTGTTTGTATACAAAATCTAGCAGACGCTTTTTTTATTTTGATATTTAAGCAATGTTTTGAAACTTTGAATACTTATAGTATTCTATGCATTTTAATTTTTTTCACTTCTCAGTGTTTTTTTTTGGTCATTGCCTTTCGCTATTTCAAATTTATTATGAGTTTTATATCAAAGAAAACTGTGGAAACGTAAATCTTTAAAGCGTCAGTAATACTTGTTTGTTGTGAAGATTGTTTTAGGGTAACAAAAAATACAGGATAGCTGGAGTTTCGATTTTATTTAACTCAAATTTGTACAAAAACTGCTCGAAATGTTGATGCATCTTCTGATATTTCCCGGGCATGCTCAGCTCCTGTATTAGTAAGCAATACAAAATCAAAAACAATTTTGGCGCACAAGTATGAGTGGAGATATATTTTATCTGTAGGATGTACAATACAATTATAGATAAAGGAGCTGGCTCTGTAACTCTTACAAGTTATCGCAACTCGTTCCATTCATCTTCAGGAATGAAGGCATATTTATCAGTATGAGATCGAGGATGGTAAAAGCCAGCAATACAAGCAGAGTTGTTTATAGAAAACTGAACTTTTACACATTACCACTTCGCATCCAATAAGAAATTTAGACTGATCTCAAGTTGAGCCTTAAAGGACAATTCCAGACAGGGGTGTCCATCAGTGACGGCATTTGTGAGCCACTGACAACCTGTAGCACCTCTCAGTCGCTCACAAATGCCGTCACTGACGGACATTTCTTACAATTTTTTCTGGAATTGCCCAAAACTGAAACGGTCGTGCCACTACTTCATCCACAAAGACATATTTCCTTACACATAACTAGGCTGCTCAAGAACAAAATTAAATAATACAAATTACTGATAATCAATTTCCGCCTTAGACTTCTTTTTATCAATGACAATTTCTCCCCTGAAAAACAATACCAAAAAAAGAACATATTTCAGCAATGAGGGATATTCTACAGAGAGATCAGCGAAGGGTTGTACTTTTCAAAGCACGGTCAGAATAGGAGTTCACAAGCGAGAGGGGGAGAGGAAAAGTATGACCTTTGGCTGGCCTGCCTTATACACTGACCAACAATAGTGCTTTTATGATTGCCAAGAAATTACGACCCAAATGGCCAAAGATGATCCCAAAGATAAAAGATATGAAATACACTCCACTGACTTTGAGATAGTGGCAAACAATTTAGGACTAGACGTTTAAGTTTAACAGACCCAAAATAATTGAAATACGTATATTATCAAGTCACAATCTTAAAAGAGAAGACAAGACTGATTACATATGCATGTTTCAAAGGCAAAATCAAAAATCCAGAGGGGAAGTTTGATAAAATCAAAAGTGTCATACAAAGCTATGGTGAAATAGACATTACATGTCTTGAAGAAACTTGGATGAATCCTGAGGACTCCATTTTCAACAAAATTAACAAAGTCAATGATCTTCACAATATGATAGGAAGAAGAAAAGGAGGCAAGTTATTGGAATATATAAATATTAAGATATGTTAAAATCATCCATATGAAACTAGAAGGAAAGTATGTTAATGAATTTAGTGGGGTCCAACAATCCGAACATATATGAATTTGATAACTGCATAGATCTAACAAAATCCGTTCTGAGGAAAATAAATATGAACCACTGTATATTGTAGGAGACTTTAAAATTGATCTACAGGTAAATAAAATCTCTGTCAAAAAAGAAGAGATTTTTAATGCCATGTTCCAACTAGGATTTAACACACATCTAAAAAGAAAGCAAGGAACATCTCAAACAAAAATATTGGCCATATAATAAAGAATGTGGAAACAGGAAATATGGATATTCTTAATATTGAAAAAGACAATGATGTATGTGTGATCACAACATGCTTACTTGGCCAATTAATGGTGCCTGCAAAACAAAAGATAATATAGAAATAACTAGACTGAATTCTGGAAAATTGAATGATAACGTGGCACAAAAACAGCTCAATCTAGGACTCTACAATCATGCCCAAAATCTCTCGAACGACTGTCATAAACTCACTCATGGAACAAACCATAAGCTCACAACAAACGATGAAATCAAATTATACTAAATTTAACCCATTGACCACAAAAGAATTGTTTACATGAAGTTTACATGAAATAGGATGTCTCAAGGCCAAAGTAATTTTAAACAATTAGATTATTAAACAAAACAGAACACAGAGAGCATGGGCTTCAGGCGTTACAAGTATAATTACTTTTCAATCCGGAGAAAGAACGCTATGTTCATAAATGAAAAGAGACAACAGTGCCAATGGTAATACGTCCACAGTTTTGTTCCAAATGCTTTGAAGCAGATGGTGCCAAAGGTCATTATCACATAGAGTTGCAGGTGGCCACAATATGGACAAGCTTTGAAGGAAAACTCCACTCTTCGAAATAGTTCTGGGACTCCATGTCTCAAAGAAGAATGATAAGCTGGACCCCAACAGCTATAGGCCACTGACACTCACTCAAATGTAGCTAAAATCTACAAAAAAAAATAATATAATAGGCTGGTAGAATTCACCTCCAAGTACAAAATAATAGACAATGAACAATTTGGCTTTCAAAAAAGGAAGTCAACAACCGATGCAGCTGCCATGGCAATGGACCACATTATAAAATCTATTTATGAAAAGAAGAAAGTCAATGGTATATTCCTGGATATATCCTAAGCCTTTGACTGCGTCTGCCACAAAAAATTAGTCACAATCCTAGGACATATGGGGATAAGAGGTGAGGCGCTAAACTGGATCCAAACAAATATAAGGAATGGGAAGCAGTGCGTGGCAATCACTGACACGTCTAAAGATATAAATGAGACTATTTTCTCAGAATTTCTTGAAAACAAATGTGGAGTTCCTCAAGGTAGCATATTAGGGCCTCTACTGTTCTCACTCTACATCAACGAGCTCAAGAACATTGTGTATAAACATACTTCTGAGTAGATGTGAAATAGTGCACACTTTTCTGCGTGTACTTGCCATAGCACACACTTTCATGCGTTCACTTGCTCTAGATGACATATCGGTGTGAGCTACTGTGTGAGCTTGATTATAAAAATAGATGACATATTGGTGTACAACAGCAGCACAAAAATATTTTTTTTTTTA